GATTTCGAAAAACTTCGTTAGGTGGCTTTTTTTGAAGCCTATACAACAGGTAAACATTTCCTTCCTCCCTCTCTTTCTCCCCTTTGCTCTAAGACGTAAACCACGTGGTAATTACGTTACCGCTGGAATGTTAGTTTCCCCGGTCCACTGTCGACTGAACTCTCTTCCCACCTTCCGATGCATGACGCTCGCATGTACCTTCCAAAAACCCCAACCTATGAAATAGATCAAGCTTTCTCCTTGGTTGTTCCAACTCAGCGCAATGCTAACTTGAGAGCGACTACATTAACAGTACTGACTTCCCCCAACTTCTGAACCAAGGAAAAGAAAACGGATATCCCGTAACCATTTTTAAACTTCCAACGATAAAGTAAGTAGAAACATTCCTTTGGTTGTTCCGACTCTGTACAAGGCTGACTTGAGCTCGATCATGAATACGAAAAAAGAAAACGGACATACGGAAGGGACACTGAGAGCTTTGTTTCACTACAGTCAGTATAAAAGGAATAAACATCCGTAGTAGAAGGGTTTTGTATGCTCCAATCTTCTTTGTTTACATATTGAGCAGATAACTTCACCTAAAATGCACACAAACACACAGCCGTGTTTATGTTCCTAAATGACAGAACAAGGACAAAGAAGGTTGGTAGAGTCAACAGTTAGAAAGAAAATAATGGGAAGTTGTGTAAACCAATGGCTACCGACTTCCTGGGGTGGTACAGAATATAAACCGTTCTGGGTATGATGATAAATTACATCCGCGTCCTGGGCAAGACGATAAACTACATCCGACAGGAAGTCCTCTAATCAGGAGTTTTTGAGAAGCATGGATCCAGCTCTTAATTGCTGGTGTTCCCAGGTCCACCCTGACCCGGGGTGTTAGCACCTGTCAGGGTCCCAGCTATGGGAAAATAGTTAACCCCCAAAAGGGGTCAGAATACTATGAAAGTATAAACATAGGTTTTAATACTAGCAATACTTTATTGGGAAAATTATTACCAGCAATATATTTTTGAAAAAGAAAAATATGACCAAAAATGGATTTTTGAAAATAAAATATTATCATCAATAAATTAAAAAAAAATTACCAGCAATAAAAATCTTGTCGACATTAAATAACCCATTGAGGTTGATATCCCGTAAAACAAGCCAAATAGAATATAAAAGAACATTCATGGTTGGTAAAGAGGATGGAATCATTTCTTTCATTTAATCTTAGTTAACAGGAATCCAAGTAACCACTACCAGAATTGTCTTAGTTTTTAATTCTTTCTAATACAGGAATAAAGTGTCGCTGCCGACACTTGAGTTTGAACATAGATCGCTAGTGAGCAAACACAGGCGATCCCATTGTTGAATTAAGTAGACCACGTAACCATAGAGGAAACGGATATATGGAAGGTAGCATGTGTCTAATTGATCGTCATTTCTACTCTATCCTCTATTACTATAAGGACAGCTATTCTCTACTCTATTCGCTATGTTATTTCTCTATTCGGATCACTATACTGATTACCATTTGAGCGATTATTATCGAGCGATTACTATTAGTGCGTGAGTTATTTGAAGGCGTCAACACCAGCATTATTCAAAGGCGTTACTATAGTCGTATCTGCGATTACAAAGTCTCTACTACAACGAACATTACGAAAGTGACAACGAGTATTCGTTGACATTACAAAAATGGCCGCGAGTGTTCGTTGACATCACAAAAAATTGTATGGAGATCTCAGAAAAGCAATAATGAAAACAAACTGGACTATTTAAGTGCTATTCATTTGTTCTGCATAACTAAATGTTACCAACTTTTCAACGCGTGTTTGAGTTGATATTTGAATATTACCATTTTAGAAGGATTTTCAAAGCCAGTGGCAGGTTAAGTATTCTTTAAAACGTCCTGAAATATAGTTATGTGAAGGAAATGCGTTTATCACTGTGATGAAGCTAGGTTTATGTAATGAAGTCCCAGGGCAAAGAACCCTTTCACGAAAAAGAGCTTTTGGCATTATAACCATTTGTAGGTAAAACCTTCGCAACAAAAAATACAGACGTAGGTAACTCAGTAAATCTACAGATTTGATGGAAATGATGAAAAAAAAAAAGTTATTCTACACGAAAAATTTATTCTTCAATTATCTTTCTTCTCAATGTAAGCTAACAATTCTTCATTAATCACACATATATAATATCCTATAAAATGTTAATATAAAATTTGATAGTAGTAGATAGACTCGCCTATAGCCGGGCTCAAACTCCGCCTAGGTATTTTGAGCAGGAGTAGAGATTTATCTCTTTTTGTCTGTTAAGGATTGAGGTTCAGGTTCATCCTAAAAACTACTTCAGCTCTATATTCCTAAAGCTTGTTCTTTTTCTTTTTTATAATGAGGACCACCCTATACAAGGCCCGAGGGTCACTCGAGGTAGTGGGCTACGTTAAGGAGTAGTTTATATGGATAGGAGTGGAAATTCTACACTTGAATAGGTCAAAATTGTAGTGATCGGGGAAACATCCTCTTGGGAATATATTCCACAGCGCAGTAGTTCGCAGGAAGAAGTGGAACTTCCTTTTTGTTGATGAAGTATGGGTAAACATTATTAAAATAAAATTAGTGAACAATTCATTAGGCTACATATTTAATGACGCTCCCTTGTGCTTTAGAATGAATTCATTGTTCTCTAACATCCGGAAAGATCCAGAAAAGTAGATAGTTTTTGATATTAGTTTGTCAATAATATCAAGTATCCTTGATTAAATATATTCTTATCAAATGCTGTATTACTTCGGGAATGTCAGTCAGTTATGTACCATGCGTGATACACGCTTAGGCAATCATGTCTCTTTCGATACAAGAGTGACGAGACAGATATTTTCCCGCAGTAGTTTTCCATTTCTTTCTGCGGTAGATTAGTTGCCACCCAAGGCTACAGAACCCGGTATTTATAGCTGGGTGGGTGGGGAGAAGGTGGTTCATACCTTTCCCAAATGTGTTGGTACGTAAGTAAAAGATTTGACTGGAATTCGAACTCGGCTCATTCAATTCCTCAATCAGAACCGCTATCCATTACGCCACTGTGCCTCCTCCGGTAATGTAACAGTATAATATTCTAAGTAGTCAGCTTTTATTAGAAGTGATGATCAAATTGAATATAGCACTGTAATACGTTATTTAACTTAGTGAGTATGTAACTTAGAAGTAGCAATAATAATAATAATAATAATAATAATAATAAAGAATTCAATCAGATTCAATAAGAAACTACATCTTAGGATGTTGCAGTCATTTTTCCAATTTGGGAAACCATGTTTGATCTCTGGAGGTAAAGTGCACTAATTTTGAAAATCAAATCAAATTAAAAACAAGAAGGATTTCAAAGAATAATAAAAGTATTTACCTATACCATTCTCCTTATCCATTATTACACAGGTTCTCTGTTAATTCCTCATGAGAAATTAGAAACGGGAAAAAGTTGATGTTTAAAATATTTGATTACTGAGATTTCGTCATTATTAACATCGGAGAATTTAAGTTTGGAGCCAGTTTGTAAGCGTCTAAGACAAATCATCAGAAATCAAGGCGGATGAGGAGTAAATAAAGACATTTTTGATAAGTGGAAGACAGACATAAAAGAGTAATAAAAAAAAAGCCGAAAGAAAAAATACAGAGGAAAGTGCGAAATAGGAAATAATTAAAAAAAGAAGCACAAAAAAGTAATCCTGAAAGTAAAGAATTGGAAGGAAATATAATCCCGTCAAGTAAAGTACCAAAGAAAAGAAACGTGAATAAAACTGGCTTGATTTTTATATAGCTAGGGGGTGGGGAGAAGTGGATTCATACCTTTCTAAAGGTATTGGTACATAAGTTAATGCAATGGATTTGACTGAAATTCGAACTCGTCTCTCGATTCCTCAGTCAGAGCCGCTTCCATTACTCAACAATGCAAAATCCGGAAACTCAACGATGTAATATTCTAAGTAGTCAGCTTTTATTAGAAGTGATGATCAATTTGAATATAGCGCTGTAATACGTTATTTAACTTACTGAGTAGGTACCATAGAAGTAGCAATAATAATAAAAAGAATTCAATCAGATTCAATAAGAAACTACATCTTAGGATGTTGCAGTCATTTCTCAAATTTGGGAGACCATGTTTGATCTCTGCACTAATTTTGAAAATCAAATCAAATTAAAAGCAAGACGGATTTAAAAAAAATAAAGTAATCCTAAAAGTAAAGAATTTGAAGGAAATATAATCCCGTCAAGTGCCAAAGAAAAGAAACGTGAATAAAACTGAATATATTTAGTCACCCCCCGCCACGTGGGCATCATGTGGCACAAGGCTGGTTTAACGTGGGATCTCCGAGCCCATGGGCTCGGCCAAAAATATGCCAATTGAACCCGTATAAACGGGTTCAAAGTCGGTTTACCTCCCCGAAAGAGAATCCGCCCTTAGGCGTAGCCTCTTTCGGGTTCCTCCCCGCCCGAAGGCAGAGAGTTCAACCGATCAGCCGGTCGCCCGAAGGCAGAGAGTTCAACCGATCAGCCGGTCGCCCGACATCGACTGACGAACTACTGACTGACTCGTGAATAAAACTGAATAAGACTGGATTGATTTTTACGGTTTTATATAGCTGGGAGTGGGAAGAATGGGATTCATACCTTTCCCAAAGTGGGGTATTTAAAGTTGAATCATTTTTTTGATTCTGACCAGAATATTTTTGCGAAATTTGATAATAAAATTGATTGTTCCAGATACGAGTCTTACTATTTAACTCAAAGCTGAAAGAAGCGATGCATTCAGACCTTTTCAAAGGATATTTGTAAACAAAGGATTGTAGCGAACCAGGCAGGAATTCAAACTCGGCATTTCAATTTCTCATTCCGAGCCGTTATCTACAGGCATAGCAACTAGATGAAAAGAAATCAATTAAGAAATTAATACAAAATTAAATGCTAGGGATAAAGAAACACTGTGTATATCTGGGGATTAAACCATTTTAAATGTCCTCTTCCGTAAATCTGAACACTAAGACCAAAAAAAAAAAAATCTTCTGGGGATAGGCTTTTTGTGTGGCCGACAATATTTCAGCATCTCTCGTGTATGTTAATATAAACGTTATTTATATTGTGTGTAGGTGTTTGATTAGACTCCTCTTTATTTATTTTTTTAACTATGAAATAAACAACTGTCGGAACCTTCTTTTATGTGTCGGATCCCTTCAGGACGTAGGCGAGCATGGCCATATCACATCATTCTGTCCCTTGTAGCTTTTAATGTTTTGTTTTTCTGCTATCTCTCCCAAACGTTTTTCTACCATCCATTTACTCAATCTCATCAAGTATGCTTCGCGCTGCTTTCCTTTGTCCCTTCCTCCCCATGTGTCCTCTGAGTACCAGGTTTTCCAAGCCCTCCTTCCTCATTAGGTGTGCCAGAAATTTCATCTGGCTCTTCCTAATGTTAAGTATGTTACGTTTTTGTTTCCAATTTTCCCCAACAGTTCGTCGTTGCTCACATGTTCAATCCATGGTATCCTCAGCATCCTTCTGTAAAACCACATTTCTGTTAGTTCAAGACCCTTCTTCATCTTTGAGGAGATTGTCCAGCATTCACTGCTATTTAGAAGGACAGACATCATATGACAGTTCAGTACTCTTTTCTTTGTAAAAAAGTGGAATTTGAGTTTTGATTGTTACAAGCGAAGATTTTCTACAAGAGTTGTTGTGAAGGAAATTTGTGATAATGAAGAAGGCACATACAGTCGAAGGTCTTGAGGCGGTACAGACGTTTCATCTCCTGGGATCTTACCCTTGACGATCAACCACGTTCCGGCCAACCATCAACCTTTAAGGCTTTAGTGGCAGAATTAAAAGTTGAATCTTCTACCAGCAGTCGTGATATTGCAACAGTTGTTGGAGTATCATCCCATCAGACCGGGCTGAACCGGTTAATTGAGTCAGGACTTTCTGGCCAACTGAATATATTGTTCTTGTTATGCCAGTTATTGGTTACTACCTGATCCAAGGATTGAACTCACGACCAAGTAGATGGCTGTAACACAAACATAAGCAACTATACTCTAATATCCTTAGGGACAGTATAGCCATTGATATAAGAGTTGATCATATTTGCATTGTTATAATCTAATGGTCAATCTCTGGGTCGGGCAGTGAAGCATCAATTCAATAGTAACGAGCAATAACACATCACAAGGACAAAATATTACAATAATCAAAATATGTCCTATATAAGCCAAGCAATGAGGACCAGAGGACACTTGGACAAAACATTGTATCTATATTGATCAAGATGAGAACAATATTTCGAATCATAAAGTAAAAATGCGGTATTATTATAAACAATATCAAATAGCTATTATGTGTACTATACATAAGTATACATACTCTGAGTAAATCTATAATGAAATCATTTAAAATCTAATTTACACATTACTGATAATGGCTTTATACAGTCAACAATACGAATGTCACCTACGGCTTTCCTTGTGTATTGTATCTTCTAAGATTGATAAATTTCTTTAAATTAGCTTATTTTTCACTATAAAGCAAGAAAATGTTTCCTTTTGTAAAGATCGCAGCTGCTTACTTCGTTTAGTAAGGGACTTTAGGCGTAAATTAGATTATCTTTTTTTTAACTTTGCTTTTTATAGGATGTTGAAAATAAAAGACGAGTTAGTATTTAGAAAGTAGGTTATTCTTTAGAATATATCTATTTGCAGAAAATGATCTTTTTGCATCACTTGCATTATAAGTTCCAAAGTTTTACTTTTTCTTATTGTATCTCTATTCGCCTTGTCCCTTTCGGACTTAGGCATTCATGGCTATCCACAACATCCTGTCCTTTGTAGCACCTAATAAATTTTGTCTTTTGCTATTTCTCCGCTGTTCCGTCATCCATTGACTCAATTACAGCAAGTATGTTACGCACTGTTGTCCTCTTTCCCGCTTTCTCCTCAATCTGTCCCCTGTGTATCAGATATTCCAAGCCACATTTCTCTTTACGTGCCGCAGAAATTTCAACTGTCTCTTCCAGATGTTAAGTATAAGTTTCCTTTTTGTTTCAACTTTCTCTAAAACTTCAATGTTGCTCACATGTTTGGTCCATGGTATCCTCAGCATCCTTCTCTAGAAATTTCATCTGTCTCTTTCTGATGTTAAGTATAAGTTCCCTTTTTGTTTCCATCTTCTCTAAAACCTCGTTACTTCTTACATGTTCGGCCCGTGGTATTTTCAGCATTCTTTTGTAGAACCACATTCAAATCTCTTCTTCATCTTTGAGGAGATTGTACAGCATTCATTACCATGTAGCAGGATATATCACGTATTTCAAATGTAAAACCCTGAATTTTATTGACAGTAGCGATGAATATGATGCAAAAGAAGTAACATCGTTGTGACCGTGGTGACATTAATGTCAAAGTTAACATCTGCTTTCAAACAGTCTTAGCACGCTTAAGGCCAGGTTGTCTCCTTGTTTTGTAGATAATCTGTTAAATTCTATGCTGATAAAATCTATAGATTAGTTGTAATTGAACCCAATTTGATTTGAAGATTTTCCTTTTAGAAAGACTTGTCTTTGAAGTTGTAAAGAAACGCAAGTGAAAAAGTCGAACACTGACGTCGTTGTTCCGTAGAAATATGCTTCATCAAATGGAGGTTACTCAGTAATTATAAACCTTTTGTAAATTTACTGTTTGCTTTATTATATATACCATATTCATAGATAACATTCATGTTGATTCAAGAAAATAATACTTAACAGTTTTTTTTTCTAATCAACTGATTTTTATGGTTGATTTCATTTGTGTTCATTCTGGTGCAATTCATATACATAAATACCCTCGGAAAAGGTATGAATTCATCTCAACCACCTATGTGTTAAATAAGAACTTATTTAAATAGCTATTTTCTAAAAAATATGTTAATAAAATATTCTCTCGCAAAAAGTATCATTCTTATAATTCAAAATATATTTCGGCTTTAAATAACCCCCAAATGGTTGATAAACCGCACCCCATCAAAAACAACAACATTCAAAAATCCTATTAACATCGATCAGCACATCACATAAAACTAGACTATGATTAATAATATTAGATCAATACTCGTAGATAATAGTAAAATACTTTATAGGGATTAATTGTAAAGAAAGACTGAAAATATATCTTATCCAAAAGCTATTATCAAAACGTGCTTATCCAAAAGTAACCAATATGAAGGAGGAAGTCTCGTGAGGCAACCGTTTTTTCTTATCAGGATCTGATCCGGTTCTTTCAGCTCAAGATAAAGATTAGAACTGATAGAAAACGGTTGGTTTCGACAGATTTTAGCGAAAAGGTGGGCGACTAAGGTGAGCTTGGTTCATGTGAACGGGGCTAGCCTTGACTTTTTCTTTTAGGTCGACCTAATTTTTATATCACGTGGTGCGTTTTGCAGGCCCATTCCTGGAAGTATGTGGCATTATGGCATATGGAGGATTGATTGGTGACGGATGAGTTATTTTGGTGAATGTGTAACTTGTAATGTGTGAATGGGTCGTTAATCGGATTAGCTAGGTATAAGATAATCCAATGAAGTCCAGGCTCAACCCTTTCTCCCTTTTTTGGTCTTGTGCCATAATTGTATTTATATACAATAAATATCAATATGCTGTCCAAGTAGTTCCCAACTAGCAGTGGTTTACCTACTAGACGACGCTGGCGAGTATTGTATTGTGTTGATGTTATAAAGATTACCATTTCATTTCCGAACTCCGTTTTGGTTATTCCTCATTCAGTAACCCTTCCTATGTTGCAACAATATCTTTCAACAAAAAGAAATACATTTTAAAGTGCTTAAAATTAATATTAATAATAATAATAATAATATCAATGAAATTACGAGCTCTGAACTTACACTTAATTTATTTTACATTTGATATACGTATACATCGAAATTGTAAAAAAAAATGTTTATGTTTATGATGAAGGGAACCACTACAGCTCTAACTCTGAACGATTCTCTACAGGTTATTTTATATGCAACTCACTGCCTACTTGTCTGCCACCAAACAATGAAAAATAAAAATAAATAAAACTATAAAACGCAACCTAAAAAAAAAAAAAAATCAAAGTCGACCCCACGTATACACTCTCCTACAGCAACGTGAGGGTTTACATTCTAACTTTGCAGAAGTGGAACAGGATCTTCTTCAATCCAAACCAGACTTACTGTTACTTTCTGAAACCGGTATCAACACTTCAAGCGCACTAGAGGATCTCACAGTCCCAGCCTACTCACCCTTTATAGGTACATCGTCACGGGCACGGACTCGGAGCCTACATCAAGGACGAGTTTCCTTGTGGCAGCGACGCAAAAAGCGAGGAACCCGATCTTTCCTGTGTGTGCTTCAGTGTGGCATTTATCCATAGTACCACATTCGTATTTGCTCTCTATCACTATCAGGATGAAGGGACAGTGATCTTTGACCGAATATCTGAGAAGATTGATAATATCTTAACTCAATTTCTCTCGGTCAGCTTTCATATCTGCGGTGACTTTAATCCACACCATAAAGAATGGTTAGTCCACTCCAACAAAACCAACATTAAGGCAGATACTTCTCGATCACCTATGAACTAACCTAGATAATCGACCAACCTACCCGTGTCCCGGATTCGGCCCGACATCAGACGAACTTCCTCGACCTCTTTTTAACCTCTTGCCCTGAGAAATGCTTAGCAAAAGTCCCCCTTAGGCACGTCAGACCATTCTCTAATCAGTGTCCAGATTAATGCCAATCCTAAGGTATCCCCTGATGTACCGTTCCATGGAACTATTTTTCGTTATGCGAATGCAGACTGGGTCAGCTTTCGGTCCTACATGATGGAAACGCCTCTCTAAACCTTCTCCAAACACACTGTCTCCAAAACTGCTGTCCTGAATGCCCAGCAGCCATAACTCACCGAAACCACAATTTAAATATTTATCGTATGGAGCGGAGTATTTTCGGCCCTCACTACACCTACACTCATAACTGCCCGCAATCTCTGTAAAAAGTTCTAAAAAACGCCAAGTGCAGTTATGCACGAGCAGTCTAGACCAAAGTTGAAAAGAAACAATTTGGAACACGTGAATTCTGGAAGATCAACAACCAAATTATCAGGTAAAGTAGCAGTGCTCATAATTATAAATGGCCTCGAGGTCATATCATCCTCGAGAGAGAAGGCGAACCTCTTCGACAGGATCTTTGCCTCTAACTCTACGTTAGACGACAAAGACCACCCCTCTCCAAGTTCCCACTGAGCAAAATCTAAGTAATATTACTAAATAGTACCAAACATTCATTGGTTGGGCATAATCGATATGTAACTAGAACAATGGCTTTTTTTGTATTTGGCCAAGTTTGAATTTTTACTGGTGGCGATTTAGCTGTCAACGCACAGTCTTGGGGAGACTTCACTTGACCTTTGACATCCTGATTCATTCCATTCCAGTATACATAACTTCGTATGAACGCTTTCCTGCCAGATATCCCGCGGTTTCCGCCGTAGAACTCTTTCAATATTTGTTTTTAAAAAGTCTCTGGTATTATTACTAGTTCTCCATATATTAAATATCAATCACATATGAAAAATGACTAACTTCACTGAACATTTTTAATTCATTTGTTTTTCCTTTTTTACCACTCCTCAGATTTTCGTTCATTTTTAAAAACACGGTCGTCTTTCTGAGATTCACTCTTAATATCTCATTTCGTAATTGATAACTCTCTTATTTATTCCTTCAAGTACCCCCCCCCCGCTTAGGTATTAATCTCCATGTCCCATTTTTTAGATGGCAATTATGAAATCATATCCTAGATATACATCTTAGGCCATAGTTGTAAGCGCTTTGACGAATGTATGTGAATTCCTTTTTTCGAGCCGAGTATTTCCAAAAGTGATCTATGATCGGTTTTTTAATACAAACCTTCTAACGCGTAGTATTCTTTGGGATTTTTTATTGCAAAAATTATTGCCAATGCTTTTTCAATTTGGCAATAATTTATTTCCTCCTGTAACGAAGTTTTTGTCATAATGAGTAACACCAGTTTTTGTTTTTCCGTCCTTTTTGTGTAGTAATACACAAATACAATCCCATATTCACTATCATCAGAAGCTACTATTATTTCCAATGTAGAGTTCAAAAGCAGAAGCTCAGAAGTTAGTATTTTTAATCTTTTCAAATGATTTCTGGCAGTCAGCCGACCAATTCTTTTTAGTAGATCATTCAATGGAGGTCTCAGTTCATATATTTTCGGTATATACCAACTATAATAATTCACCATTCCTAAAAAATGATTGCAATGTCGAAACATTTGAAGGAGCCGGCATATCCTTTATGGCTTTTATTTTATCAGGATCGAGTCTACGATCATTTATATCTGTAATTTGGCCTAAATATTTAACTCGTATAATTCGTATCTATCTAATATTTATTACTGATACAGTAATTGCGGCACAAGTCCGAAAAAAAAAAGCTAGAGACTGGTCTAGGTTGTTCATCACTAGCCATTTTATAACTAGCGAATATAATTCACGACCCATTCATTGGTTACAATATACTCATTCACTATAAGAATTTATCTGTCGCCATTCGCTTCTTCATACACCAAAATACCTTACACACACTCATGTTTGTCTTCAGACAGTTTAGAATCAAACTCTTATTCGTTCGAACACTTTTGCTACGTGGCCTCTATGTTCGTTTACCTTCAAATAATAATATCCTCCAAGTATCCAACTGAAGAAATCAAGTCCAGCCCGCATAATAACACCAGCCCGAAATAACGCTTTATACATATTTATAACAAGAAATTCTTTATTTGCTTCTTCCATTTCAACTTGAAGGTATGCATCCAACAAATCTATTTTGAAGTATTTAGCTACCCCGTTTGTAGGTACTCCATCGGCCGTTGGTAACGGATAATTATGGTCTTGGAGGCCGTTAGTCAACCCAGTTAAAAAATCTGCACACACTAGTAATTTGCCAGGCTTTTTTTTATTTTGGCAATTACAATGGAGCTGACCAACTTGAAGAGTCAACTGGTGAAATAATTTAAATTTTGTAGTCTGTCTAGTTACTTATTCATTGTCTCAATGGCAGCAAACGGATGGGTCTTTTTGGTTTAAATGTTAGATTCACATTTTCTTTTACCTGCAAAGGTGCCTTTACTTTAGTGCAGAGACAAATTACTCCGTAAACAAGTCTTTATTCTTTTGTATAATCTTTTCTTTAAACTGTCTATATTCACATTTGAACATCTGACCGACTCACAAATAGAATTGATTGATTCATTCCATAAAATAAACAAGTGTAGCCAATCAGAAGCTAAAAAAATTAACTGTTTTCCTTTTGTCACATTTGCTTCTGAATTACCTTTCGTTTCGAAACAAGAATTTGTAATTTAATTCACTTATTATTTTTAGTTTCTTCCCCACCTCCCCCACCAGGCAATACGCGCTTCGAGGTAACGTTTTTATCAATTTTGGTGCACCTATTTTTATCCAAGTCTCTTCTGAAATTATAGTAATATCAGAGCCCGTATGTAATTGCAGGGGTCACGGGTTTGTTGTTCCTTCAGACGCGAATACATTTTCTATTAAAAGAGAGACTTACTTTCATAAAACCTATACTTTAGCACTGTTATTAATTTTTATTTTTTATATATTTATTCCAAAAGATTTCTGCAGGTATTGTTAACTTTTGCTGCAATTGGCATAAGAATTAGTTTGGACTTGTTAAATTGCCCTTTTTTGGAACAGAGACGATTCCACCCTCAACCAAGCTGAAGGTGGCGAATGGTGTAGGAGGAGGTCATGGAATATTGGATCTTTCCACAATAAAGTTGGTATATTGTCAAGATCTGGAGATTCGTTGTTGACAATATCTTTGACTGGTATTTTAATTTCATCGAGCCTGAATGAGTGAAAGACCACTGACTTGTGGTGGTTCTCCCAGGAGATTCTTAAATGTGTCTATTACTTAGCTGAGTTCAGTCGCTCAGGGTAAGTCCCGGTGCAGATTACTATTGTATTATTTTTCAGACGACCACTAAATACTGCTTTTGCTATAACCAGGATTTACTTTGACCGCCACCTACACTGAGCTAGGTTTTGACACAAGGTCAGTTTTTAACGTGAGGACCGGAGTGTTTCCACTCAGGCCACAGGTCTTAATTTGTCTAAGCTGGTCAGATTTTTTCTAAGGTTGTCATAGCAGGTCATATCACCGCGACGGTACAAGACCGAGGATTCTGACGACGTAACAGGAGAGAATGCCTCCAGCAAGGAACAGATACTACAACTACAGCATATACTCAATTCGTTTATATCTCTATGAAGGCTCTTTGATCGCAGTATAAGTTCTAGATTCTTTCTCAACTAAATGTTTTCCCCCCCCAAAAAAAAACACTATGAAAATTGGACAATTCCTTCATAAATATTTGTCTAGTTTGCTTTATATATAATATATATGCAAACAGGGGCACCTCGACGCGGTGTAATGGTTAGCAGGCTTGTTCCGCTAAATCTGTTACGACTCAATAGTGAGTTCAATCCTCACTGGGTGCCCTATACATTCGGTCTTGTGCCACATATAAGCTACGCTTAGAAAATCAATATATATGCAAGCAAAAATCGCCATTAGGATTCAATAAATCGAATATGACATAAACCTTGATTACACGCTGTCAGATGTGTTGGTATATGGTGGAAATCTCTAGACAATAAAAGATGACACAACAAGAGTCATTCCTAAATATTGTCAGCTTTATATGGAGATTTTTAAAAGTTTTCATTTCAAAACATCGCTTATGCCATAGTTGTCACATGAGTGTTTTTTTAATGTCAAAATTTGCACATTTTTTTTTTACGGATCTTAACTGTTGTGCGTCATAAATGAATCCAGATTTTAAGCATATCACGCATTTCTTCTGTAAGAAGTTTAAAATGAAATTCAACCACGTAAAAAAAGATGGATTGGTACAACTTACGAGCAAACATTTTAAGTGTTTCACAAGTAATCGGATTGAAGATTGTTTTCTGAAAGAGACGAGATGGAGCTGATAATGCTCAACTTTAAATTTTAATTAGAGAATAGAGTACATTATTATTATTATTATTAAAATCAACATAGCTTTAGAATTCCATGTCCCTTCAGATGTAGGCGAACATGAATCTTTTCTTCATTATTTGTGTATTAGCATGCATTCTATATCGAACCTATTCAAAATATCCAAATCATTTGCATCAGAATCGTTCTTTTTCTATGGGTTTTTATTTGTGACTTTGAAAATATTATGATGGGTGATGAAAATCAAAGTTTACAACATTATGCAACGCAAGTGACTGGGAAAAACGGAATAAACTCCCATTAACAGTACCAAAGCCAGTCTTTATCCAAATTTGTTGCGTATATAGTGGCATTGGAACTGGTCCTCTATAGGAATTCTATCCGGAGAAGGAAAATATTTATTCGAACAGTTACTTCTTATAAGTGACAGCAGCAAAATCGCCTAGGATGCAATCATAATACCCTGAATGATGACGTGAACTCTGCCGCAAGTGCATAAATGTGAGAATGGAACGTGTATCTAGAGGATACAGCAAAAGCGGGGAGGTATGAAGAACTTCCCGACGGTGTAGATGCTGCAGTTGTAGTATCTGTTCCGTACCGGAGGCATTCTCTCCCGTTACGTCGACAGAATACTCAGTCTTGTTTCGTAGCAGTGGTATGACCGGCTATGACTAGCTTAGAAAACATCTGACCACCTTAGACCAGCGGAAAGATTGGAAAAACTCAGGTCCCCACGTTAAAATCAGCAAAACTTCATGATATTTATACTAAGAGGGGGATATAGACCAGTCCTACAGAGAAAAAAATCACAAGGTTTGAAGTGAGGTGAACGTGGTGGTCACTTAAGCAGCACATTGTCATTATCACTGGCACGCCCGATCCATCTTCCTGGTAGATTCTCATTGACTTAAGTTCGCGATCATTTGAGCGAGAATTCGCTATGTTATTAGACTACAAAATGATGTAAATTTTTTTGGGGGGATACCCTGTATTATTCACTACATCCTTGCAACTATTATTTCAGAGGTAAATCTATATTAGCGTGTGAAATGGGAACACTGAACATTTAAATACTGTCGGACCTTACAATTTATCATGGGATAGGCAAAACCAGATTATTGTTAATAATATAAACAAACAAAATAATATATATATAAGGTAATAATACTAATCACTATTAACTAATAAGCCTAATAACTATTCATAAATAAGTCTAATAACTATTCATACTTACAGACATGGCCGGAAAGACTTAATATACACTGACCAAAAACCTAAGCTGAAAATCAGAATGAGTCTCTCTCTGTACCTAGAACATGTATTGCTTATAAGATTCGGAACATTGCTAATTGTTTAATTAACGCACCTATATAAATTATTTAAATTGATTTTCTGATTACTGGCTTGTATGTGTTAATTACTCCTTCCTTCGGAACTTTCACGTATGCTACTGATGTAAGCAAAAGGAATGTCAATATAATTAGACTTTGACATTGCTTTATATATGCGTGTCTCTCTGTGTGTGTGTGTCTGTGTTTGTGAATGTTAAAGTGCACTTTATATAGTTATAAATGATAGTTAACAGTTGGTAAACGTATTAGTTATAATTGCGATTGGGGACTATTGCGATAGAAGTTATTTATTCATATAGGCGCATATCAATTTCATTTGTTATCTATCTCGATATCAATCTCAGCATTTCGTTACACTACACAATCTTTCCAAAACTTACCAACATAAGATAAGAATTTGCTTGTTATTCAAATAATGATCTACTTCATATATAATACTCATCATATCTGAAACACAAATAAGCTTCTTAACTACTTTCCCTATTCTAACCTTGATTCTTTGGAGATAAACGGCAAATATCAACCATTAATCGTACATAAAGTCCAGTGCAAACGTTGAAGAGTCTGAAATCTACTAGGAATCTGAAGATTAATAACAGTTAGACTGAAAGAAATAAAGATGGAAGTCTTTCGTGAATATTTAAAAATTCATTATCTCTTTTCTTTGAAGAAATACACAATTACTTGAAACTGGAAATCATTGAATTGATTTTTTCTTCATCTACATTACTTTATTCATTTATTGATTAAAACACACACTAATAAAATTGTGGGTTTTGTTCGTTAATAAATAATAATTGATGTTTCCTTTTATCATTTATAAATGTGTAAATTGATACAAGAACATTAAATAACATCAGCGGGCCTTTAGAAATATATCGCCATGTAAAAATGCTTTTCTTTTAATGTCGAAGAGTGCGATATAGTTATAGTACTTGAAATGGGGCTGGTTATTTTAATAAAACCGCCACATTAAGAAGAATGAAAAATGAAAGATTTAAAAGAAAGCAATTTTGATGTATTCTGATGGAAAATTAAAAATTACTAAGAGAAAATATTTTGTTTCAAAAATACAGGTAGAATAAAATATATAAAAAAGTAACGGAAGGAAAATAATTCCGGCATTATTAAAAAATTATAACAAAAAGTAAATTCAAACGGTATGCAAGTTTAGATATTTAAACTACTGTGTTGTAACTTTTTGAAGTTACCCGCAATATTTCAACAGGATACGATGCCGTCACAGTTATCATTCACAACTTAACCTTCTTGCAACAAGGCGCTGATAGTTAAAATAAAAGATATCTTAAACTCAGAATTCTTCAAAAAGAGATCTTCTAGAGCAGCCTTCCTCATTTGAAAATGTATTCTTTCCGATATGGAAAGTTTTATGCTACATAAAAATATCAAAGGCAACCCTAGTTCATGTCTAAATATGTTACGGCTACAGCTCACCGTAACCATGACAACCATCTCTGTCAGCGGAAATGGGACTGAAGAATATATGCCGCATTCATAATTGCCTCTAATCAGTGCAAGAGAGTCCTGAAATGTGCTAAGAGCATCGATGTAAAAGCAACCTAAGTCAAAGTTGAAAACGAAAGACGATTCTCAATAGAGGCGAGCCGTTGGTACCTTCATTCGCCCTGAGCTTATCTTATCCTGATTAGTCAGATTAGGCTAAGGACTTTGCAATGAACTTTTTCTAATTAGGCGACCAGGAGCATCCCCTATTTAAATTACACCATCTCATGGAGATCAAACTTTGTGATATCTGTTGTAAGCGTGGAAACCAGGAAGCAGTGGCTTTGCGGATAGTGTCAAGAGGAAATTCATTCCAAGTTTTAGTTAAGTTCCGCTTCAATGAATCAATGTCGACGATATCACAACGTTGGTTTTGCAAGTGAGTTAAGAGTATACTCCAGATACAGTAATTCATAACATTCAGATCCGAGCTTTTAGAGGATCACTAATTAGAACTGGTGTATTTTCTCAAAGAATATATTTGCCACTTTTTTAATGGGCATATTTAAAATATTAAATTGAATAGGGATTAAACAGCTTAGTAAATTTGAATTAAATTTTATAGTTTCCTTAACAGCTAAATAATATATAAATCCTATTTTTTGTAGATAACTTTCCCTCCTGATTTTCATTTTCCTGCATGAATTATTATTTTATTTTGACATTTCCAATGTGCAGATCTCATGGATTTGTTCCCGGATATATTTTTGAATTTTATTAACTAATGGATATTTTCAAATTGACTGAAGCGGTTTTAAATAGTAGGACTGTCATGGTAATAAATTGTACGACTGCGATGGCAATTGTAGTACTGCCATGGTAATAAATTTTCCTTAGGCTTTTCCATTTATGTTTAAAGCAAAGTTCCCGTGAAAAGAGTGAAACGTCAAGAAGAAAATAAACATTTAAAACATCTAACTGGCTTTCACGCATTCCACACACACGCACACGTGTGTGTGTGTGTGTGTGATAGTAAATGCTTTTTAAACTGTACATATAAATGTTAAAACAAATATTGAATATGTTTTTCAGTTTTTATGTATTCAAAACTCAATAAAAGTCAACAAGCCTAGGACGTCACCGGTTGATATTAACGATTTCATTTTTTGTCTGTCAAATCATATTGAACAAAGTATTTCTTTCCATTCTAACTTGAAAGGCGTCCTTACAGCAGTTTGTCAGCGATTTAAAATCGCAAAAGTGTCTGTCGTCTGTCTCAATGAAAAATGCGAAGTAGCAATTTTCTCTGTAGATTCTATCTATGCATCATTTTTTTCGTCTATTTATGAAGCCAAATATAGAAAAATTAGAAAAACTGACAGATATTATGTCCTATGTTTCTTTTTTTAAAAATTTGCCAACGTTAAATATATAAAATACCGCGTAATATATATTTTAACTGACAAGTTTGTATTATATGATAGGTTTCATCCTTGGCAGCTGTGAGAAAGTATATTCCTATGTGCCAGAAAAAATGATATAACGAATGAAAACAAAATTAAAATGTAGTAAAAGTGGCATTTTTTGAGATTCGAGACAATTGAATTCCCTATGTTTTAGAACCACTTTTAACGTTATCAAATTTAGAAACGAAGAGATTTGCCGTTAATACACAATTTTATCATTAACTCCTCGACTTGCATTTTACATCTTTCTAGTGTGTCACTGAAGATGTTATAAAATTGACAATTCCTAGGGAAATAGTTGCGACTGTTCAAGATTATTTTTTCTTATTTTCTTTTTCTCTTTTTTCATTTTGTCTTTTTTCTTTCTTTTTTCTTTTTCTTTTTCTCTTTTTTTCTTTCTCTTTTTCTTTTTCTCTTTTTTCTTTCTTTTTTCTTTTTCGCTTTTTTTTTTCTTTTTCGCTTTTTTTCTTTTTCTCCTTTTTCCCTCTTTTTTTCTTTTTCTCTTTTTCTATTTCTCTTTTTCTCTTTTTTCTTTCTTTTTCTTTTGCTCTTTTTTACTTTTTCGCTTTTTCTCTCTTTTTCTTTTTTCTTTTTCTTTCTTTTTCTTTTTCTCTTTTTCTATTTCTCTTTTTTCTTTCTTTTTTGTTTTTCTTTTTTCTCTATTTCTCTTTTTCTCTTTTCCTTTTTCTCTTTTTTCTTTCTTTTTTCTTTTTCTCTTTTTCTCTTTTTCTATTTCTCTTTCTTTCCTTTTCTCTTTTTCTTTTTTCTTTTTCTCTTTCTCTTTTCTTTTTTCTCTTTTTCTTTTTCTCTTCCTCTTTTTCTCTTTTTCTTTTTTCTATTTCTCTTTTCTTTTTTTCTCTTTTTCTTTTTCTCTTTTTCTCTTTCTCTTTTTCTATTTCTCTTTTTTAAAAATAAAATAATTTCAACAAACATATTTAATGTCAGTAGAAATTTTACTGTTTCAGTTTGGCACCCCCCCAATACTTGTACGAGGCCAGAGTTCACTCAAGGTAGAGGGTTACGTTAAGGGGTAGTTTATATGAATAGATTGTAGAGATCGGGGAAATGCTCTTGAAAATCTGTTCCATAAAGCATTAGTTCGCGGGAAAAATCGGTTTGAGTGGAACGTACTTTTGATCGATGGAATACGGAGGGAATGTGGGTGATTTGTTACTATGTAAGTAGCATGGCGGGTCCTAGCCCTGAAGGTGAGACATGGCGGAACCAGGGAAAGTAAGGAATTTTGGCATTCACTGACCGAATAGTCAGCATTACTCTCGATAGACATTTATAATGTCTTTTGCTTTAAAAAAGTTTTCAGGAAATTAGGCTTCTCAAGTCCACTCTTCTTGCTCTTTCTAGTATTAATGGATAACGGTTCTTTCTTAACATTTGTTTAAGATATGTGAAAGATTAGCATTTTGATTATATCATTATCTCTTAGAGTTACACGTATTATCCATTTTAGTTGTCAAATGGTGTGTTTATTTGTTATTTGTTAAAGATCATTGTGATTATGTAGATGTGATTATAAGATCTAATGAAGGAGTCTGAGTTAAAACAGTTTTAGTAATCATTCCCCAAGCAAGTCAATAAAGCCACTAGTACTTACACATTTCGTAACGAGTTGGAGACCATATAAAATATCCATAGGAGAGTCTTGATCTGTCGAAGTTGTTTAAGAACACAACTCAAGTTCTGAGGTTTAGTCTTTGGTCTGGTTTAGTTGTTTTTGTTAAGCAGCATACCGACCCATATGTAATATTTAATGTCGTAATCTAAATATGAAAATTCAAACTTTGTAACTAATTTAAGAGAATTAAATTACATTCATAATTAAATTTTACTTACTTAGCTACATTTTTAACGAATTATTATTACAAAATCAAACAAGGAGTGAAAACTTGTTTCTTCTTACAAGAAATAGGATGAATCATAGCAAATTGCTTTTTTGGTGACAATGTGTGTTTTAACTTTGCTAGAAAGAATCTATTAGTCACTTTGTTAATGTATTGCTGGTAATTTATTTGATAAAAATGTATTGCTGGTATTTTGACTATCAAATTATAGTTTTAGTTTCCTAGTGTTTTTGTTTTTGTTTTGTTTAAGGGGGGAATCATTCTTTGACCATAGGTTGGCCCCTAACAAGTCCTAAGACCCGGCTCATTGTGAATTTGGGAACAGCAGCAATTAAGAGGTGGTTTCACACTCCTCAAAAGCTCCAATCTTCCAATCAGAGACCTTGCTGCCGGATGGATCTTATCCTCAAACCCAGGACTAAGTATTTTGGCATCTTGCTCTGTTGGACAAAAACTATTCCTCGCACAGCCTATTCTTTATTCTATTTACTAAACTCCTCTATTAAATATGTTATAAGTGATCCGTATAATGTGTTATTTCAAGTGTTTCGAATTTGTTAATTTCACTTTGTGAATTTTTTATCTGGATGGTTGGATTTATTTTTTATGGCTTATCAACCTTTTAAAGGTTATTTAAAGACAGAAAATAATTTCTATTGCAAGAATTTAGGGGATAATTACTTTGTGATTTAAGTCCTATTATTTAACTTAGAGCTGGGAGGGATAAGAGGTAGATTCCCACCTTTTTCCAAAGGTATTTGCGCATAAGTAAATATAACGAACTCGACTGGAATTGGAGCTTCGTCACTTCGATTTCTCATTTCGAGCCGTTATCATTGCACCACCCGCACATTCAAGTTTACTTTGGTGTTCCAAAGTGGCCAACCATCTAGGTAATCACCAGGTTCGACGTTTCTTAACTTCGGTGATCGTACGAGACCCGGCATTTCAACGAGATATTGTCCATAATCCCTATGATAGATTCAGACTATATGCCATTACTGCTTTCATTCTAATTCCACATCATACTTTCTAGGAGGAAAAATTGTTATACAGGAATAAAGTGTCGCTGCGGACACTTGAGTTTGAACATAGATCGCCAGTGAGCAGCAGATACGATCCCAGTATTGAATTGAGTGGACTACCTGGCTATAGAGGAAACGCATATATGTAGGCGGTAGCTGACAACTAACGATCTCTGTTTCTAGTCTATCCTCTATTACTATACGGACCGCTATTCTCTATTCTATTCACTAGACTATTTCTATAATCAGATCACTATAAGGTGGTTACTAGTCGAGCGAGTTTTACCGAGCAAGTAGTATTAGTTCGAGATTATTCGAAGGCGTCGGACACCAGTATTGTTCAACGGTGTTACTATCGTTGTATCCGAGATTAAAATGTCTCTACTACAACGAGCATTACGGAAGTGACAACGAGTATTCGTTAACATCACAAAAGTGGCAATATGTATTCGTTGAATAAAAGAAACAGAACAGCGGGTATCATTTGATTGAAACTAGTTTCATAATAATAGAGACATAATGAAAATCACCTTGCCATTTATGGCAAAGCGTATAATATCAATAATGATGTGCAGAACGACACAAAAATGATGACGACATGACGAAACCAAGACAAACGATAGTATGGACGTGATTAAGCAACAAACAAGAGCCAAAAATAACAGATGGAACAAAAATTTCCTTACCGGACTGCAAGACTAACAGAAGGAATGAGTTAGATCTGATTGCCGGTAAGAGATGGCAGAGAAGAGCACAGTCACTGTCGTCACGGAAAAGGCATTTTTCCAGCAGTAGATTTGCAATGGCTGCATCGTTAGCAGCTGATTATATATATGGATCTGTGCGTGTAATTAAATGTGACACAGGGTGACTTGTAATGCTTTAGGGAATAGAATCTATGAACCAATTTCAAACTTAATTAGAGATGCTATGACCAAAGTTGCAATATTACTTATCAGATATGGAATCCGTATTACTTTCGGGAATTAATTTTAAATTTCTGTTAGAAGTCAAAGGGAACAGCGATCTTACTAATACGCTAGAAAACAGTACCGAATATTTCGTGTATATTGAATACTTCTTCCTTGTAACATGTGCTTTCAGAACTTGGGTGATCATAGCTCTCCACACTTTCCTGTTGTTTGTAGCTGCCAGTTAAGTTTGCTGTTTCGTAAACCTTATTCTGCCAACCATCTACAAAAGTTCGTTAGGTAGATAATACACGGTTTTCCTTTGTCTTTGTTGCCTTTAACCTGTCCTGTGAGTATAACATTTCCCAAGCCGTCTTTCCTCACTGTTCCTTAGAAATGTCTGACTTATACTTATATAGGTGTCGTTTTCGTTTCCATTTTCTTTAAAACATCGTCGATGCTCAAATGTTCAGCCCATGGAATTCTCAATATCCTTCTGTAAAAGCACATTTTTGTTGCCTCAAGTTTTTTTTTTTATTTGTGATGTTATTGTCCAGTATTCCCTGCAATATAGGATGCGCTGATATTAGATCCCAACTCTTTGTTTCTAACGAAATTTTATGTTAATTCTGTGATAGCACTAAGTCATTGTGACCGAGGTTTTGTGAGTGCTGACCTCGTTTAGATTGTTAATCACGCCAGAAACTGTAATTAAGATCCGTTCACCATAGTTGCAGCATAAACCACAGGTGGGCCCTGTGGGTGTTGAACAAACACAAATGTGTCTGCCACAGGGATTGCCCTAGTAGACATGCATAATCAGATACGAACGTCAAGCCACCAGAAAGTGATACAAAAAACAGAACACGGATAATTACAATGGCTGCATAAAGCAATAAAACGAGAAAAAAAATTGCATTGTTGAAATCTTTCGAAAAATTGACCAATCTAGTCGGAATCGTCAACTTCGAATTCAACAGCAAAAGTATTTATAGCAGAATCTAGTTATAATTAGAAAATTTTATCTTAAATTAATTTAAATATTTAAAAAAAAAAACATGAAATACCTATAGGAGAAAACAATCTACAGGTTACAATGGGTAAATTGTTGCCATTTTATATTTTTAATTTCGTGCATGAATTTTCTTTTCGTTTTTATTTTGTGAACTGCACACTAGTAGGATCACATAGTGGTCTCATTTGGACACCGTCTGAAAAGATTCCTCCAGAAATGTAGGAACGACATGCTGAATTGCTTGGCATTCGCACAGAAAGCTCCATAAAAACTTGTGCAGTGAGATAATGTATAATGGTTCGGAATTGTTAATCGGAGAGCCGATCTGCAATTCCAGTTTTGTTCTTTATATTCACTTACGCGCAAATATCCTTAGGAAAGGTATGAATTCACCTCTTTTTTCCTCAGCTATGGGTTAATTAGTAAGATTTGTTTCACTAATACCATCAAAATCTCAAAAAATAAAAATATATAAATAAATAAAATAAACGGAGAAAATATTTAGATTTAAGCATTAAATAACACACAGGTTGATCTACCGCAGAACAAAAATAACCAACTTCGTGAAGGCAAGATTCTTGGAATGATGGACATTGTTTACAAGATTTAGTCTGAGGATTATAGAAAATGTATTCCAATGTTTAAATCCACACTATGCCTATTTTAGGTAAAAATGGATAAATACGCCTCCAAAAGTCATCTTTCTTTTATTCGTAACTGAAATTAATTGTTACTAATAACTGCAATCTCTGACTAGAAAATATATAACACCGTTTGTTACTCCAGGAATTTTCTCGTTTAAGATTTAGGGGTAAACAAAACTTTCCCAAATAGTTTTTGATTATATCTAAAAATAATTGAATATTTTTATTTGTTTGTTTAACGGCATATTAACTCCTTATGGGCCATTTGATGCTGAAATTTAATTTTCTTGGGAGCTTTGAAGTAATACAAATATGTGATTCTGCTTTCACAATTGAATACATGGTAGATGATACTCAGCTTTTGTGAATATACATGTTTGTGTGGCCATAATTACTGGAGTCGGTGATATGTGTGTTTTATGGTGTAGTTTTATTTTTGAACAGAGTTTGATTTC